CCCCAAAACCCCAAAACCCCAAAACCCCTGAAATTAATATTGCTTATGCATTTGAGAAAAATAAATCTTAAACTAATAAAAATAATGAAAATAGTTATAATAAGTTAAGCAAAAGTTATCAAATTCCTGATACTAACCGTGTTCATTTTAAACGTCTCATTTTGTATTGAATAAGACTAATCTCATAGTTAAAATTTGACGGTCAAGGATAAACCATTAACTTTGGCTATCTATTTTGGGAATATCATTAAATATTTGATGTGGTAATTAATAGAAATGTACTGCTTAAGTATGGGATGGTTCGGGATCATTTTTTCTGGGGACGCTGGTGATCAATATGCGCTATGCAAAAGTGATTTAATGAACAGTTTCTAAATGGATTGATGGATTAATTTATCTTACTAAGGTTATCCAGAATTTAAATCAAAACTGTACTATGGAATATAACAAGGTATAAACTGAAGCAAGTATGATTATATATGATTTTGATATTGGAGATAAGTTAAGTTATTAATTGCTAAATAAACATATTCATATTCAGATTTTTAAAGTCAGATGCTCTTTATCATATCTAACTTTCACCAGAAAGTTATGCGTTTCAAGTACATAACTGTAGTATCTAGTCAAAGCCATCTATGAAAAAGTCTTTCATTAAGGAATCATAAGCTAGAATAAAAGATGAATTAATTGTCAGCTGTCAAAGACTTATGAAGCTCAACATTCTTCTTCTCCTAGGTCATCAAATATTTCATCTGTGTCTCCTTACCTAGCTTGACTCTTTTTTATAGCATTTACGTGGTGAGCAGCGTCAAACTGCTACTTGTCCTCCAAGACCTGCTTAGACTTGCCATTTTTTTACTTCTCCTTCTTTACTATTTCTGAGTAATCGCCACTGTCTAGGTTCCACTAAATGGGATTATTCATATCCGCTTCAACTCTTTTTACTTTCTATTTTACTTTTTGGCTTAGATATTCTTCTGCCTAATATATAAGAGATTAGTCTTTACGCTGGAATACTTCTGGCAGTTCCTATATGAAGAAATCCTTAAGGTACTGAGCATTCTTAGCCTTTGCAAAGAACTTCTTATGATTTTTGAATACCTACTCAATTGTAGGTCTTTTGGTACCATCTCTCTATAAACAATCTGTGACAAAATCTCTGAAAGACTAGTCCCATTTATCATGCTTACTCAATGCTGGTGGAGCGTTATTTATAATTTAAAGGATGACTTTCATTGCAGGTAAATTTTGATAAGGTGCTTCCCCATTTGCTATTTCAATGGCAGTAATTCCAAGTGACCATATGTCAGCTGAGAAGTCATGACCTGTCTACTCCATTACCTCGGGCGCCATCCAACATGGCGAGCCAACAAAGGTTTTTCTTTTTTATCCCTTTTTCAAAGAAGCTGAAACACCGAAATCACTAATATAAACGTTTCCATCCATGTCGAGCAAGATATTTCCAGCTTTGATGTCTCTATGAATCTGCCTATTCTCATGGAAATACTAAAGCCCATTCAAAGTTTCTTTGATGATGGTTGCTATGATTGCCTCATCTTTAATTCCCTGAGGATAGTTCAATTTTAATATGTCACTGCAAGAACCAGCGCTAAGTAAAGGCATAACGAGCCAGAGATCAGTACCCTCAATGAAAGAGACATGACAGCTGACTACATTTCTATGCGAGCAGGTACTCATAATAGATATCTCTTTCCTGATTTCATCAATGCTATTATCCTGGAATTGCTCTAAATCTATGATTTTAATGGCTACGTTTCTCCCTATAAAGCCTTCCTTTAGAACTTCAGCTTTCCAAACAAGTCCGAAAGACCCCATTCCGATTGGGATTGCAAGTCTATAGTGAGAGGCCTTTGCTGGCCACTCAGTCTGTTGATAACTCTCTACCATTGATGATATTTATACTTTTTGTATATATTGCTACGATAATTTAATATAACCTTTAATAGTATTCAAATATTATTCACTCCTCTCCCACTCACTATTGATTGATTTTATTTTAGTGGGGTTTTGGGGTTTTGGGGTTTTGGGG